TCAACTTTAGACATAAAGGCTATAGCAAGTGTTGGCGCTAGTCGTTGTCCCATTGCCAGCCCTCTGATTTGAGCAAAATAGTTCCCGGACCATCTAAAGATTGAACAGTTTAGGCACTCTTTTAAGAGAGCCATAACCTGCCCAATGGAGAAGCCATACATGTTTGTGGTCCTTTCGTGCTCTGTTAAAAGCTCGTATATGGCTTGCATGGCGGAATCATTCGACACGTTTGTATAAAGGGCGGTTACGTCGAAAGATTCCATCACGTACGCGTTGTTTGGAGATGCTTTACGTAAATGGTCTAGGAACATTTGGGTGTTTGGTGAGATGGGCTGGAATGTGCTTTAGTAGTTGGACTAGTATTAGGTTTAAAAACCACGTTATCCTGTCCGTTGGTCCGCCTACGCAGCTGGATGATGGGTCTAACTTTGAAATTTGGTGGATTAGTAGGGTTTCCTCCGTCGCTGCTTAAAACACCGGGTCGTTCCTAACTTCATCAGACGAAAACGACTTCACGAACTATGCGGCCGGCCAAAGGAGGATCAACGAATTCTGGATATCGAAATGCGACTTTTCAGGGAGGCACTACGATTCAAGCAAGATCTACTATATTCCCAGTTGAATAAGTGTGAATCGAAAGAGTTGTATTGTATCCAGTTTTTGGAGGATCGCCTTTGGAGGAAAATCAAGGGTGGGTCATTTTTGATCTGCGATTCTATTAGGTCAAGTGCTAAAGTAACCTTATGCAGAAAATTCGAAAAACTTTTGAGCAAATCGCGTAGACCAGCTTCATCGACAAAACACCACAATACCGTTAACGAAATCCCTTAGAGTCAAACTAACATCAGTAATGTGCTAGATCAATCAAGGGTCACTGTGTTAGGAGGCATGTCTCTTCCCGATAATGCGCGCTCTCTCTTAGAAATGGGCCCAAGTTTCTCACCAGCGCAACCCATTTCTAAGGAAACCTTGTGCACTATCGCGTGCAATTTGCAAGAACTCCAAGATCGACTCCGCTATAAAGCCAGACTAGAATCAAACAACGAGCAGGAACAGCAAAACGTAGGAGCAATACCAATACCACCTTTTCCTCGAGCGTTCTTTAGGCAGCAAGATCCAAATAACAAGGTAGATGTCAATTTTCGCATATTCTCTAACGAAACTCTTAGAATCCTTAACCACTATCGCGGGAAAATGTTTAGTTCCAACCTAACATCGGCGCATAAAAGCGGTATGCGACAAATACGGGAACTAATAAATTCCAAAGCAATTAGACTATCAGTTAGTGACAAGGGAGGAGAGTTTGTAGTAATTCCCAATCAGTTAGATATTGCGATAACAAAAAACCATCTTGAAGACGCCACACTTTATCGCCCATCATCTGGTAAGGAATTCCAAAAACAGTATCGAAAATTGAACCAACAATGGGTAAAAATAGCAAGCTTGGCTGGTTTAAGGCCTTCCGTTATCTCCCAGCTAAAACTTAGTCCACCATCATGTCCCGTCTTATACTTACTTATTAAAACTCATAAGTTGGTATGCACTGATGATCTTTTGTCTACTAATCCATCAAATTTCAAAGTTAGACCCATCATCAGCTGCGTAGGCGGACCAACGGACAGGATAACGTGGTTTTTAAACCTAATACTAGTCCAATTACTAAAGCACATTCCAGCCCATCTCACAAACACCCAAATGTTCCTAGACCATTTACGTAACGCATCTCCAAACAACGCGTACGTGATGGAATCTTTCGACGTAATCGCCCTTTATACAAACGTGTCGAATGATTCCGCCATGCAAGCCATATACGAGCTTTTAACAGAGCACGAAAGGACCACAAACATGTATGGCTTCTCCATTGGGCAGGTTATGGCTCTCTTAAAAGAGTGCCTAAACTGTTCAATCTTTAGATGGTCCGGGAACTATTTTGCTCAAATCAGAGGGCTGGCAATGGGACAACGACTAGCGCCAACACTTGCTATAGCCTTTATGTCTAAAGTTGAGAGCCCCATAAACGAACTCCGGCCGGTACTCTACTGTAGATACATAGATGACTGCTTTGTCGTCTGCTCAACCCAAGAGGAGATGGACAAATGCTTTGAATTGCTGAACAGTCAGTCAGAGTACATAAAGTTCACCCGTGAAAAACCGAAAGCAAATTGGCTCCCTTTTTTGAACGTTCAGGTCAACCTGTCCCAAAACTCCTACAATACAAAATGGTACCGTAAACTAAGCAATAAAAACATCTTGGTTCACTACCTATCAGCCCATCCTTCACACATAAAACGCGCACTACTTAAGAATATGTTCCGAACAGCGTCAAATGTGTGCACAGGGAAAGAACACAAGGTAGAATCCTTAAGCTTGGCGCGAAAAATAGCCATCTCTAATGGCTGCGATACGGTAGGAGCTTCTCAGGTTAGATTCAGAGGAGATTCTATGCTCCCAAACGATAAGTCTGGCGAAAATAATGTTCCTTTCCTCCTGCCTTTTATCTCTAACGAAATAAGTACAGCTATTAAACGATGCCTAAAAAGAGCAGCTTTGGATAATTCGGTAGCAATAGTTGAAATACCCCCAAAAACACTAAAGCGTCAATTAGTCCGCAACCGATTGTATGACCGCCTCTGCGAAACCAATGATTGCAAAGTTTGTCCGAACGGCAGAAACGGCGACTGTTTGAGATCGGGTATAATTTACCTAATCTCTTGCGAGATATGCGGCGATGAATACATTGGCGAAACGGGTAGACCATTATTCCTCCGTGTAAAAGAGCACCTAGCTGGGTTACGCAACTGTGATTCAAAAACCCCACTAGGCACGCATAGGGACCAAAAACATGCAGGAGTAATGTTCGGCGTCAAATTCACGATCCTCGCACAGGAATCAAGAACATCTGCGCGTAAAACATTAGAAGCATTTTGGATACATAACAAAGGTCCGAAAATGAACCGAAAAGAGGAGTGCCTCATAATCACGCGTGACCTCGAACCATACCTCAGGCTGATTTTTCCGGCCCGAGTTAGGCACAGCCCACTGATGCACTGACCTTAAGCGGCTTGTCTTCAATTAATAATTGATAGACCCAAATATGAAAAAACGGTGAGTGTTTTAGAATGAAGCTTTTACTATGCGATCCAAAACACATCTCTAACGTTTTCTGTTAGGGTCATGGGGTTTTTGGCTTAGTGGATTGTGGATCAATTTGATCTTTCCAGGCTCTGACGAAGGCGACCCGCCGAAACGTTAGCCACCTCGAATATTGTGTATTTAAGCTGCATTCGATTGTTTCTTCTTTCCGGTCGATGGGTTTTCGCGTTTGCTTGTGGCTGACGTTTCGGCGAATACGCCTTCTTCAGAGCCTGAACGTATCAATCGTTGTAGCGTTATTTATATGACTATATACTGTGAGAGAGAAAAAATAAATATAATAATTGAAAATCTACGGTGTTGATAAGCGATAACTAATTCGGGGAAACCACTCACCTTACCATCTAATCCAGGGACTACCTATGTTGCTAGCGCCAGGGTGACGTATGAGCCCGCCCCCCCACCCGTGTCACTAGGTCAAATTATGTGATAGGTGTCAGCTGAGACCCATGCTAGAATATCAATCTGAGATAAGGTGCCATGTGGTTGGTTATGTTAAGGGACTCTCCCTTTTTGTTCATTTGCGGGTTTCTGGAATTTATCCAGAAAGCTTCAAGGGTCTTTCGCGCCGATGTTTTTGGTTCGTGCCCCAAGATTTTGACTACTACCTCAAAGTCGTCATCGTTGTGTCTTTGCATCCTGTGTGTACCTAGAGCTTTACTTGGGTCTTCATTTTGTTTTTCCGTCTAGGTGTTCTTTAATGCGGATGTGAAGTGGTCTGCCTGTTTCGTCAATATATTCGCCACCACATGTCATACAAGAGATAAGGTATATTGTACCTACGCTCATGCAATCGCCGTCTCTACCGTTGGGACAAATAACGCAGTCCTTTGTATTACATAGACGGTCATACAAGCGGTTTCGAACTAATTGACGACGCAGTGTTTTAGGCGGAATTTCTACAATTCCTACAGAATCTTCTAGACCACTGTTTTTTAGACACTTTCTAATAGCGGTACTGACTTCGTCTGTTATGAAAGGTAGTTTAAGAGGTACCTTATTGTTTAGGTGTGGCGCCCTGTCGTTCCATTGCGAGGCTTTTCGCTCCTTTTGGGCCTAACGTTAGTTTTTGTTTTTTCTTTGTACCCATTAGAAATGGCTATTTTTCGCGCTAAGTCTAGTGATTCCCTTCTTTCATCGTCTCCCGTACAGACACTTACAGCTGTTCGATACATATTTCGGATAAGTGCCTTTTTAGTATGTGAGGGATGGGAAGAAAGGTGATGTACCAAGATGTTTTTGTTACTAGGCTTGCGATACCATTTTGTGCTGTAGCCATTTTCAATAAGTTGAATTTGAACGTTCAAGAAGGGAAGCCAGCTCTCTGAATTTTGTTGCTCTCGCGTCAACTTAATAAACTCTGACTGTCCGTTCAAATTTCGAAGTATTATCCATCTCCTCTTGTGTAGGAGCAGATGATAAAGCAATCGTCTATATAGCGACAGTAGAGTATTGGACGCCGATGGAGAACTGTATTCGCCGAAACGTCAGCCACAAGCAAACGCGAAAACCCATCGACCGGAGAGAAGAACAATCGATTGGGGAAAAAGATAGCAACCACGTGAGCTCTAATAAAGATTAGTTTTCTAAGCTTTTCTTATCATTTTCAAAGGTTTATATTATTAACATGCCGAGGTTTCAAGAAAGTCGGTCTTTCGAGTTATTTGAGCTGCATTACTAACTGTATTGTTGTATGCTTCGCTAATATTCAATAAATAACATAAATAATACCTCGGAACGGCTAAAGAGAAGAAACTATTCATTTATTCAAACTATGCCGAGGTTAATAGATAGTCGGTCTTGGGACTCATTAGATAGCTAGGAAAATTGAGTGGTGGAGCAAAAAACGTCCTCAGGCGGCAATCGAACCCACGTTTCATCCTATCCGCGGACGCGTGCTCTACCACTACACCACTGAGGCACATTGCCCGGCCACTCATTCTTCAACATCTCAGTGTTAGGTATCAGCCACCAACCTTTGACAGGTTTGGTCGGGTATGCGATTCTGCTTCATAAACACAGTTAAGCTGACAGCTATTTTAATCACTAATACTCGGAATTAATAGTATTTCAACGCATTTAGAATAGCTGTCAGCTCAACTGGGTTCATAAAGCGAAATCGCATACTCGACCAAAACTGTCAAAGGTTGGTGGCTGATAGCTATAATTGAGATGTTGAAGAATGAGTGGTTGGGCAAATGTGCATCGGTGGTGTAATGGTTTGAGCACGCGTCCCCGGATAGGATGAAACGCGGGTTCGATTCCCGTCAGAGGCCGCGTTTTTGCTCATCACTCAAATCTCTTAGGTATATAGGAAACATCATAACAATGCTGAATGCGTTGAATTACTACTAACTCATTAGATAGCCCAAATCTCAAGGATTTCGACTGTAAAATTAGTTTTTTGAAAGGTTGCTTTATAACGCCGTAAAAATGGAAAGAAGATCCATTTCACGCCTGAAATGCTACCCCGCCGCTCAGACGTCACTAGTGGTTTACTGGTAAGTACAGGTAAAGTTTATAACTCAGAGGTGTCCTATCGTTACATGAAGAATAGAGTATCACAAGTGAACCTTCTGCCAAATTTTTTAATACGAAGAGTGACCACTTCTCATGAATTCTTCATTTTTCAGCGGTAATACCACATCCTCGCACAAAAATAAACTTTCAACCCCTATTGAGCATTCGTATCGCCTGTCTTGCGAGAAGGTAGCTTAAAAACACATCTTCTGCAGCTAAACATTTCTGAATCGAGTTTTATGTGGAGGTATTTCTAATATGTAGCTTGAGTAAGTGTAGAAAGAGCGCGAGTTCATCATTGCGCATGATGAGTTACTTCCCCTATCAACACTCATAAATCGAAAAAAAGTATTTCTTTGCTCTTTCTAGACATTTCAGTAATTATTCGATAGCTTACACCTCAAAAATTTGAGAGATGTACTTCATTTTCTGAAAGGTCTCTGTATTACACTGTAACAGAAAAAAGAATATTTTATTTGACACATGAGCATCTTTCGATGAGCAACGCTTTTCCTAAGAAATAGTCAGCAGTCTTCGACACGACAAATCTCGACAAATTTAATTTGAACATTCCAAGAATATGCTTAGTTTTTGAGGAAGGCTTTTTAATTCGTCGTTACACCTAAAAAACATTGAGTTTTACACTAGGCGCGCGCATCGGACGCCACATGTAAATTGCGCTGCGCGACCGACACGGCGCCGAGTGCGAAACTCAATGATCTTTTAGCTGTTAGCAACACGTTAAAAGTCCTTCTCAAAAATTGAGCTTATCATTGAAATTGCTGAAATTTGTGTTATCGAATGCTTATTTGAAATCTGAATGGAAACCTCTGTTCAGCGAGAGATGTTTGAGTGTGAAAGAAAAATTGATACCTGTATGTTAAGCAGTGTCAAATTTTCAAGCTAATCTCAATCGCTGGATAGAAAATTTTCATAGGAGCATTTCTAGTTACTCGAAAGCTTGAATCTCTGCCTACAACTTTACGGCCGCCAGTTTTCTAAGGCACCCTTTTATAACTCTATAGCATCCAGAAGAAAAGGCGGAAGGCTAATGAAAAAAGAAATTCTATTCTGTGTGGTACAGCGACATAAGGGTGTTGAAAAACCAGCAGTGCATAGTTGTAGGCAGAAATTTGAGCTTTCTATAAATTACAAAACTTCTATAGAAAGTTCATAGCTAGCGAATAAGATTGGCTCAAAAATCTGTCGCTCTCTAACATGTAAGTGGCGTAAATTTTAGTTCACCGTTACAGCATGATATAAAAGGTATTTGAAAAATAAATCACACCCTTGATGGTCTTGATATTCAAGCTGTCGAATAATTACTAGAGTCTCGAAAGAGAAGAAAAAATACTTTGTTTGAACATGGGTGCGGTTGAGAGAGAAGCACCGAGAATACTTCTTTGTAGACACATATTTCTAACCAATTTGCATAATGCCGATGTTCTAAGTTTTTTTATTCAAACAAGACTGTCCCTTACGGCTCAGAATTCTTCCACTATCCACAAGTACTCGACCTTTTCTCGCTCACCTCAACTCTGAATATTTGGTATTTGACGAATGGTTGATATAAACTCAGTTATAGTGAAAGTTATCGATTACAGCATTTATTATTATTTTTGTTGTGATATACTCATTATTTCCAATTATTATTCATTTTGATGGCTCTTTGAGCCTTGTATAAAACTGTAGTGGATCAAAACTAGAGTTTTTACATTGTGATATTCTCCATACAATTCACTACAGTTAGTTGATTGTCAAATTCAGCATAATTCTGTAATAAACCAACTTTTCTTTCTATACAAGACACATATATCTGAACAAAAATCATATAATCGAAAAGAGGAAATTTTTTTCGATCGAAGTAATACGAGAATTCCAAAAGTTTTCTCAAAACGGCAAAAAAAGCCTCAATCAAATAACGAAAATCGCGTATTTTCGCTCTGCGCGCATCGACTTCTATAGCCGTCTCTTAGGGTTTAGTAGAAATCGTCACGGAAGATGTATCACTGTACGTCATATGAAAGAACGCTTAATATGGTATTCTTTGGTTGATACATCGTAGACTGATTCCAGGCCTACCAAAGGCGCTACTTTATAAATCAAGTCTGCTCGTTGATGCTGTTGCTCTTTCATTGAAGACATGGTCTCTTCAGATCTTTTCTGACTCATCCGACTGCAGAACTCAAGTTATCTAATTGCACTGTGCAAGAGAATTGAATACTAGAACTTTTATGTCAAGAACAAAACTTACGCAATCATCAAAGAATAGATTGGTACGCTTTAATCATGTGACCTGAGGGCTTTTTTTTCTCAACAAAGAGGTCTGAATTGGCGCCATAATGACCGGACAGACCTAGCTGTCAATAGTGATCTCATCGTCTAATTTGCTGTAGATGACTTTCATAATATCGTATTGATTCATATCAAAGCGTGTGCGTATGTGGTTCTGATTTACGCGAGACTTCAATGTGAAAGTAGATTGACTTCAATTCAAACTTTCATTGGTGAAGTAGTACAAAATCACACAGATTGATTTTAACTCCAACAGGATGGAATATCAGAAAGGTAGGAAAACGTCGTCAACACACAATGACTATGTTTTCGATGAGAAGATCAGTGCGTTCAAGTAATCATCGTATTCACACTCATTCGTGTTTTCGTTTTCAGGTCTGAATTCCATGTTGTATGCTATGTGATTTATTTCATTGGACTTAAAGTGTACTGCAGCGGCTACGATTTTTTGTTCACTATCCGCGTCATCGTAGAACTATAAATCCGCAAAATTTCAAAATTTATAGCATTGCTGTTATTGCACTCTGGAAAAGTAACTTCTAGAACTCACATGTACTACTGCATGGCCCTCAAATGCTTTTCCTATTTCTCCCACGATCGTGAACTTTGTGATAGTTTTGAAGACTATAGGTTGATAAGACGGATCCTAAACGAATCATTGTTTACATCTTGAAGAAGTCTGTAATTTGAGCCAACAAAATTACGATGGCGATACTTGAACAATTTTGCTGAGAAAGATTGAAATCCATTTTTATTCTATTTATCCAAATTAAAGAATGAAATTCGTTTGACATAATCAGTACTCCAAAATTCTAGTGTTTTTACTGCATTTTTCGCAGTGTTATGATGCTTCATATACACCTTTGAGAATTGAGTAGTGAGCAAAAATACGACCTTATACAGGAGTCAAACCAGCGTTTCATCTATACTAGGAACTCGTGCTGCCACTACTACACCGAGGTGACAGTTAACATAGAGATGTTGAAGAATGAGTGGTGGTACGAATGTTCCTCGGTGGTGTAGTGGTAGCACGCGTCCGCGGTATGGATGAAACGCGATTTCGACTCCCATCTGAGATTCTGTTTTTGCTCACCACCCACATCTCTTAGGTGTATATGATTTATTTAATCAAAATAAATAAAAGATTGGAATCCAAATATGTTCGTATTGGGCCTTCAGCATATTTCATCAGAACTCATTGATTAGATTCTGAAGTCAGCGTAAACGGTCTGTCTTCACCAAATGCCACACAAAAGTCTCCTCTCGCAGATGACAAAGTAACATACTTGTTCCACCACCTGAAGAACTCCGTCATCCCAGTTGAAGCCGAAGTGCGTGGCAATGTCGAACATCGCTTTGCTTAAAGCGTGATTAACGCTTTCACCATTCGGATAGTCGCGTCGAATTCTTAGAATCTGCGATCGCCAGCATTGTCTTTCAGAACTGGGACTGATGACGCAGTACAATACACAAACGAGAGGAGTAACGATAGTTTTCATCTGAAGGTTCCATTTAGAATTTTTCATTCTGAGATGAGGACGATGAATGAAAGAAGAGCAAATCTGGGCGGCTATTATCAGCGGACGATCGTGCTACGCAACTAAGGACGACGTTCAGTAGAAAAATAATTTTTGATGAATGTAAGAATGGCATAGTTTATTTGAATTTGAAGGCGAAGAATGCAAGGAGCTCGAGAAGCACAAATCTATCTATGTCAAAATGTTGCAGGCAGCATAAGATACAATGGAAGATATCTCAAAATCGCCTTCCTTCTATTACGAAATTATCACGAACATCTTGAGAAAAGGAGCCACCAGTGGCGAGCAAACATGGCTCACGTGGCTCATGCACAGAATCTTTTGTTAATCTCCGAAAAAGTTGAGAACGCTCAAGGCGCTCACACATATCCATCTGTATCTTTTCTTTAGCTAGTGATTTATCAACAGTTTTGCTTTACGTATAGATTGCCACGCTAATGCTTTTCCTCCCTCATCACATGGGGCTCTCTGAATGACGGGACGAAACTATAATTGCCACGACTCTTTGTGAGCAGGATAACATTTTACATGACAACAATTTGTAACGGTAACAATTTTAGGAAAAAATTACAGATAAACGATTATTTTGGTATCTTTCCAACATAAGCAGATTCAAGGTTGTTATTAGTAGTGTTAAATGAACACAAGCACTTTCTTACCCTGCTTGATCCGTTTCATAAAGCGATTTTCCATAGTTGAGGCAATCAAATTGTTTTTCATTTCTTCATAAACGTCTCAGTCTACTAGTCAAGCGCATCTCCTTGATTTTGCAGATAGCGTGGCTGTGGCGTTTTATAGGGCGCCTGTTGTTGACCGCCGGAGTGAGCTGGAGTGTGGGATTTCGAGCCGCTCCGCGACGAGTATAACAACCACATAGTCATAGTCCTCTATTGGCAGTAAGAACAATACTACTAAAATGGTTG